TTTAGGGTTTAGGGTTTGGGGTTTAGGCCTGTAGATCCACCAAACTCAGAAACCTTAAACCCTGCACCGGCGCAGTGGATTCCTGGCAGCCGAGCGGTCGTCGTCGATCCTCCAAACGGAGGATGGGCATTAGCATGAGCGATTTTCAAGTTCCGCGCGAGAGCTTGGGTGCAGGGCTAATGAGGATTTTATGAGTAGTTTTTGGGTAATTGAGGGAATTACCTCAGACTATATATAGTGTTTTAGAGAAGGCCTTTAGCAAGTGCATTCCCTCATCGTCCCTAACCGACAAAAGTATACGGGGAGGGGGGGGGGGGTTGAAGGTTTCGGTATTCGCCTCGAGTCCCAGTCGCAACTTGAGAATCTTGCCCATGAGCGTGGGATGCTAGATGCCGACATTCGGAAGAAAAGAAGAGTAGAGCGGACAAAGTGAACGTACAAGTAGAACGCTGGAAACGAGCTAGAGCAAGTTTAGTTAGCGTTGTCAGGTTGTCAGTATCAGCAACACGAGCAATATCAATTGTCGTAAACAGCTGGGCTTTTCAGAAGGACGGCTAAACTGTTACCACTACAATCACTACAACTGCGGCTGCGACGGCACCCGTCGGACGACATGCAGCAGTATTGTCCTGTCTGTTCCTACCACGACCACCACGACCATTGCTACTCCGCATGCGGCTACGACAGCTGCGAGTACTGATCACCATGCAGCAGTACATAACATAATCAAAGCCCCATGCTTGGACAATCGCATCATTTCCTTCACCTAAACCAACATGGAATCCACATGGCGCCCTTCGGACGGACAGTATTCTAGAAGAACATTCTACTTTGAAAGTCGAGGCTTTGCGATCTATTCTGTAGGCTCAACGGTCTTGGTTTTCAAAGGTATTAGAAGAAGTGGTGCCATCAGTATAAACCCGATAAACCCTATAAACCCAAAAAACCCTATAGACCCTAAAACCCTAAACCCTAAACAGGGATGTAAGCAAAGAGTTGCATCCTCAGGGCCTCGCCGCAGGTGGTTCGGGGTTCCGTAAGCTGGTGGATGATGGGTTTCAACCCTCCGGGAACACACACTCGAATGCACTAGGGCTTCGGGGGTTTAGGGTTTAGGGCCTAGGGGCTTAGGGTTTAGGATTTAGCCCCTAAACCCCAAGCCCAAACCGTCCCTTAACCCTAAGACCCTAAACCCTAGCAGGTTTTTGTCCATCCCTATATGCATAGTGTTAAGGATTGGGGCCATCGGGTTTCCAACTTGTGGGCTTCTACTGTACGTGTATACTACCCGGGCAGATGGAGCCTCATGGGGGTTTCCGAAAACAGGGGACCCTAATATAGTACCCTAAATAGTAGGATCCTTATTATAAGGACCCCACAATCAAGTACCCGAATTTTCGGAAACTCCCTCATGGCATCAGCCTAAGGACGACAGAAGCCCCGATAGATAAAGAGCCTGGATCCCTGAAGTGCTGTTGTGAGCTGTGTGCATACGGTGTATATATATATATATAGATATACACAGCTATGTATACATATATATATTTTTTTCTCTGGGACCTCCATATATATATATATATTCTGGATATTTCCAGAGATGTTCTCGACAGCTGCAGCATGGAAAACCTATCCTAGACCCCGCAAGAACTAGCCCTAACATCCAAAGCTTGGAAACCCTGCATCCTAAACCCTAATCCTCCCAAACCCTAATCCCTAAACCATCAAACCCCAAAATCCCCACAGATCCTCCTAAGCCATAAACCCTAATCCCTAAACCCGCCAACCCTAAAATCCCCATAGATCTTCTACCCTCCCGAGTCCCTGGAATTAAGTCCCTATGAGCCCGGATTTACCCCCTCAAAACCCGGAGGATAAGATTTGTTCTTTAGAGACTCCTATGAAACCCAACCTATGAAGTGTTCAGGAAGCCTTGTGAAAGCGAAGAAAGACAGTAATACGGTTTATGATATAAATGCTGCATTACCCATAATAAGGAATATACCATAATTCCCATAGTTTAGGGTCCTTAAAGTAATGCAGGATTTCTATCATCAACAGTAGCTCGGTTCAGCTTGAAATCTTCGGTTGTAGCTGTATTTGTTGCAGGGGGTTTTCGGGAGAAATAATGCTAAACGACTGCGGACTGCTCCGGCCTATAAGGTTCACAGAAGTTGCGGTGGACGGGGTTTAGGGTTGAGGGTTCTCGGTTTGAGATTTAGGGTTTAGGGTGTAGGGTTTCCTGAGCCCTATAAACGACAAACACTCCTCCTGTGCTTCCTAAACCCTAAACCCTAAACCCCAAACCCTAAATTGATTGAAGAAGGCAACTTGCTCCTTCTGGCTCAGCGGGCGGGTTCTAGCGTAGCATGACCATTCAGCTCAGAAGCTTGTCCAAGCCAGACATAAAAACAAAAAGCATGACACCTGGTTTAGGGCTTAGGGTTCAGGGTTTAGGGTTTAGGGCAAAGAGTTACATGCTCGATGGTGGTTTCTAGCTGGCTTACTCAGGGCTTCGTGGCTTAGCTCCTCACGAGCACTTTAGACCTGTCAGCCTCAGCAGCGCCGCGGTGCTGCGCAAACAGCCACTAAGTACACTCACTCGACGACCGTATGGTTCCCAGTCATCAGCCCAGATAGGTTCGACTGTACTATATACTTTGACATCACAGGCATGACTTAGTACTCATGAGCCCTGAAATTTAATTATCAACATCACTCTAGACTGACAGCACGCTACTCCGGCACCATAGTTTTGACTCTCAGCTTTCCGGCCGCCATGGCTTTCATGGGCTAGATCGCAGCCCATACTGCAAGTGGCAAGGCGGCGGAGGCCGCAGCCGTTGACGAAGACAGGCTCATATAGAAGGTTCTGGAAGCCTAAACAGCATGTAACGTTGTTCCTTTCCATTCCCTAGTATAGTACAATACCCTTTCCCAAACCTGATTATTAAGCTTCTTGTTTCGCAAAAGCGTTGACGGATTTGACCATCCACCACAAGGTCCATCGGTTTCAGGGGTCGGGTCGAACATACCTTGCTTTGTATGTGTTACCTAATATGACCCTAGATGTACAATGTGATAAACCCAAAAAAGGAACTGCAATGGAGATCATAGGTATGGTCAACCGAAACTAGGCCCAGAGCAACAGCCTCTTCTCACGATGTCCGCCTGAAGCCCCGTTCCGTGCGCTTGCATGGTCGGATCTGTCCCATTCCTTATAGATTTAATTAAAGCTTACAGGAGCTTGTTTCAGATAATTAAACCCTAAACTCTAAACCCTAAACCCTCGGCATTGCTTGCGCTCACTTGGGAAGCTCCTGCGATTGACGACTGAGAGGGATGAGAGTGAAAGCATGGCCCAAACCCTAAACCGAAGCCCCAGACCGAACTTAAGGTTGCGACTTCATAGCCCCCATGGCAAGACGAGGGTGTTGGGGTTTAAGGTTTCAGGTTTAGGGCTTAAGGTTTAGGGTTTAGGGCTTAAGGTTTCGGGGTGCGGGTGCACTGTAGGACACATAGGAGATTAGGGGTGAACTATAGTACGAATAAGGGGATGGTAGCCTATAGTCAGACCCTACATTTCCCTAAGTACTCTAAACCCTAAACCCTAAGTTTAACGACACGCACCCAGATGGACTTCGGGATGTAGCCCCATGCTTCCCAGCACCTTATATTTAGGGTCCTAGGCCGGTCGTTGGAAGCATAGGGTAGGGCAACCGAAGCCCTGTCGATAAGCGCCCGAAGCTCTGAGGCGTCCTAAGGTTTATGACGGTAATGAGGGCTTCATAGGGTCTAGGGTTTAGGGGTTTAGGGTGTAGGGTTGGGGGGGCTTCCCTAGAGGCTCCCTAGATATGGAAATAGGTCCCCAAAAGGCGGCTCCATGCTATGGCTTTGGGGGCCCGATTTCATATAATGGTAGTATATATATATATATGGCGCCTTTGTTTAGGGTCTATAGGGGTTCTGATTCCACAATGGTAGTATGTATGGCGCCTTTGGGTTTCTTCGGGTTTGAATTGGAATTATAGGGTTTTGGGTCTGCCGGGGCGGTCTTTCACTCCGAAAACCTCCTCACTGCTGAGTTAGGGTACTTTTTACTCCACTTAGAACCTACTTGCTAAGTCCCCTGGGCCCCCCAAGTAAGGTTTATGACGGTAATGAGGCTTTCATAGGGTTTCCTCACTCCTGGGTCCCTGGAATTCTTCGCAGGCTGCCTGGCCAGAGACGGCATGGGAAAGGACCGGCAAGTTTGAGGGGATACCTTAACCCCACATGGGACCTTCTGAAAAATAGGGGTACCCTATCTTGGGATCCTCATAAGAAGGATCCTACTATTTAGGGTACTATGTTAGGGTCCCCTATTGTCGGAAACCCCCAAATAGCCTACGGCTTTAAGGTTTTGATATGTAAGGAAACCTTCAGAATGCATCATCACGAACCCTGAGAAGGCAGCAGGTTCTAGAGGACTTTCAGGTTCAGGGTCCGACTTTCAGGAGTTGATTTTTTTGGGGGGGGAGTCAGTCATCAAACGAGAAGACCATATCCGGTTTAGGGTTGAGGGTTTAGGGTTGCTGCCGACATGGATTTCCGCGAAGTCCTACGTCGTACAGACCAAGAGAACGAGGTGCTTGGGTCTCCGGTTTCTTTCCCAAGCGCTGATTGAACCCTAAGCCTCAAGCTTTTGAGCCTTTAAGCTAAAACCCTATAGCCCTATAAGCCCTAATCCCTGAACGCCTAAGCCTAAGCCTTCTGCCCCTAAGGCCTCAACCTTTTATGAAAAGGAAAGCGACGACCGTGTCGGCGTGAAGCACGAGGAGCAAGTCGCACCGCAACTTCCAAGCAGGCGTGCTACCCAACATGAAAAAAGTACATGAACCTGCGAATCCGGAACACCACTCCAAGGAACACTGCTCGAATGATGATTCCTGCGTAAAGGAATCGCCAAGGCGTGAGCATTCCTGCCAAGCGGAATCGCCTCGCACACCGCAGTGCTGGATAAGGCGCAGAAGGAGATATCAAAGCTCCAAAGTTCCAGCGCTTTTGCAAGAGTCGTTCGCGATATCCTCGAGACGATGCACCCCGGTCTCCGCATGAGCAGCGATGCACTGGAGCTGTTGCAAGACAGTGCAGAATGGTTTTGTACAGACACGCTTGCAGCAACCGACAAGCTGGCTGTGCATGCGCAGCTGGCAATAAACTCTCTAAGCCCTACATTTAAACCCGGGAACGATCATGCCGGAAGATCTCACCATGCCCTGCTGGACTCGTGAGCACTCCTGCTTGTTCAGTTTTGAAATCATCCTACCCCGTCTTGCGGGCCTCAGAATGAACCATAACTATGCTTCTCTGGCACCCTGTGTTTCAACGACTAAGATTTCAAAGGGTGTCCGAGCAGAAATCGAGAACTCCCTGCAAAGGTGTATACCTCTTGAACTTGCCGAATTTGAGGTTGGTTGCAATGCCTACGCCGTGTTTCGCCATTGCGCTGCTTGCTCGGAGGCAAGGCTCCATTCTGCTGACGAGCAATCAAGAGTTTTCTCGGATCTCTGCGGAGCAGTTGGAGCTCGTGTATGAGCCCAGTTGGGCAGACTGCACTCGGTGCCGATGTTGCCGCCGATGACAGCCGTGCTGGCTTGTTTACTGCCATGCTCACGAAGTGCTAGCACCGACACAGAAGACGTTGCCAACAGCGAAGGGAGGGTCCGATCAAGGATTAGTCTGCACAGCCCTACTATGAAGCACAAGAGTCTAAACCCTATGTTTAGGGTGGAAGGCTTAGAGCTTCCCAAAAGAGCCAAACACCCCAAACCACTTTCAACTCTCAACTAACATATAAGCCCGTGACCACCTCTTCGGCCCTAAACCGCTAAACACCCTAGACCCCTGGCCTGGATCTTTATAAGCCCTTAGGGTTTAGGGGTTTAGGGTCCCAAACCCTAAACCCTAAACCCTAGACTCTAAGCCCCAAAACCTTAGACCCTAAAGCCTGAACCTCCAACACCCTCTTAACCCTAGGCACCGATCTCCTGAACCCTTTATGTCCGGCAACATACCCAGAGGCTCCATATGTACCATGATGTAATCAGGTCCCCCAAAACCCATAACATGGATAGCCTTTTGGCTCTTAATCCCATAATGGTAGTATCTATGGAGCCTCTAGGATAGTTAAAACCAAACCTTAAGAGACTCTCCTGCCCTAAGGCTCAAAACAGCCCGAAAGCCTTACATAGTATGGTCTTTGGGCCCAAAAAGACTTAAAATGTGAGTCCTTAGAGCGTTAGTAAAGTAGCCTTGAGAGCTTGTTGCAGGAGGCATCCCCCCGAAATGGCACACAGAAGGCCGGCTCAGGCGCAAGCGGGTATCCAGCTGAAGGGTTCGGGTTTAGGGTTTACGGTTTAGGGTTTACGGTTTAGGGTTTTAGGGTTTAGGGTTTAGAGTTTAGGGTTTTTGTGTTCAGAGGCGCCACTAAGTTTAGAGTCTACCTGTACTCTCCATTGTAGTTTTTTTTGGGGCTTGCCTTCCAGGATCCTAAATGTAAAATTGGTTCAACCAAACAGGAACTTCAATGGAGGCTATAGGTAGGGTTTAAGGTGTTGAAGTTCGGGGTACTTGCAAGCTAGGGCCATAAGTAAGTTGTTTTCGAGTTTCAGGAGGGCAATAAGACACAATGAGGCTTCCAATGGTGCTCACAAGTGATATGCCCTGACCCAAGCCGCAGCCCTGGACCCCGAAGCCTAGGAAAAGACACGCTGAAAATTAAAATCTTTACTGCCGTAGAATCTGACACAGGCATTCATTCTGGAGTTGCACCTTCTAAAACCGCTAGACTCTGAACCTTGCATTGATTGAAAGTTCCCTAGCCAACGAAATTCCGACTTGGAACCTTAATGCTAAGCTCTAAATGCGAAGCCCTGCCTGGACCTTTGAAACCTTATCTTTCCAGGGTTCCTTATTCTGAGTTCCTCATGAAAGTTTTTTACAACAGGTAGGTTATTTGGGCAAGGTAAACCCATGTAAGCCCGAGCGCTAGCATTTCCAGGCCTTCGAGTTCTAGTGTTTACCCATAGGCCCCTAAGT